TGATGGCCTGCAGGAGCCACCGAGATGGACTGGGGAGTGCTAACCAGGCTACGAGAGAACGTGCCAGAGGAACCAACGGAGCCACTGACGTACCCACGGTGGGGCAGCGTGGTGGAACACAGGGACTCGACCCGAGGCCTGTGTCGACCTAGCCTGTGACGGCAGAGGGTGGAGTCTGGGTGTGAAGTGTAACACTCACCTGATTCCTCCATGTGCGGGAGAAAACACAGGGCCCCGGCTTGAGGCTTGTGACAGCCCGGCGTGTGACGATATGAAGCGGGAACTTGAATGCTACAGCCCCTACCTGGTTCCACAAATGGGCAGGAGGGGTGCTCTTGGGCACCCCTAGAGTCAACCCACTGCTGCCCGCTGGCGAGAGAGGAGGGGGGAAGTGACCCTGTGATGCACAGTTCACAACTCTCCTCCTCTTGAGACCCAAAGACTGAGGAAACCGCTCTTTTATGCTGGGCCAGCGTCGGAACAAAAACAAAATTAAACAAAGGATTCTCCACCCGGCCCTCCTCCGGGGGAGGGAGTGGTGTGGTCACCATCTCCCGACGAGCAGTCTCCTCCATCTCTGGGTCGCCCGGCCTCTTCCACTTGCGCTTACCTCCAGGTTTGGGGTATGTGACCAGATCCATGACGCTGCCTTGTGGAAGGCTGCTGCTGCGTGGGAGCGGGGGCAGCCGCAGTGGGCACCCACGGCGACGAGCAGGCTGAGGGTCTGCAGCCGGGACGGAAGCAGCAGGTTTCCTCTGGTGCAGGATGTGTTTAATTGCCTCCGTCTGCTTCTGTGCCGCCGAGAACTGCTGGGCGAAGCTCTCGACAGCGTCGCCGAAAAGGCCGGTCTGAGACACGGGAGCATTCAGGAACTGTACCTTATCATACTCCTTCATGTCGGCCAGACACAGCCAGAGATGGCGCTCCTGGACCACTAACATGGACATCGCACGACTCAGGGACTGTGCGGTCACCTTCGTTGCTCGAAGCGGGAGGTCCGTCGCAGCACGCAGTTCATGTAGAACTGCCTGGTCGTGACCACCCTCGTGCATGTCATTCAGGGCTTTGGCCTGATGGACCTGCAGCAACGCCATGGTGTGGAGGGCAGAAGCCGCCTCCCCACAAGCTCTGTAAGCCCTGCCAGTTAAGCCTGACGAATACTTACAGGCCCGTGAGGGGAGACACGGGTCACCCCGCAGAGTGGTAGCTCCCGTCAGACACAGTTGCATGGCCACCGACTGCTCCACCGAAGGAATGCCTGTGTACCCCAAAGCGGCTCCACCATCGAGGGTGGTGAGAGCGGAGGAGCTACAAGATTTATTTCGGGCAGTAAAAGGTGCCTTCCATGACCTTGTGAGCTCCTCATGCACCTCCAGGAAGAATGGCACCTCCACCGAGAAACCACTTGTCCAGGCTCGAAGGATCGGGACGCAGTGGAGGATTCGCATAGGGAAAGCATAGCTGTCATCTCTGGGTCTGGCTCGGACAACACTGTCATACCCGAAGGGGGCAACGCAGCTGGGTCGTCATCCCCGGAGAGAGAGAGCTCGCCCTCTGTTTCAACGATTGACATCTGGTCTCGAAGGGGCGAACCGAAGGAAACGGCCGGCTCCCTCCACTCTGTAAAGGGGCCAGAACGTCCCTCCGGCCGCTCCACCGGCGGAGGAGTGCTTGAGGGGTGACAAACTCCCTCTGGGGAAGTCGTCACCGTGATCCTCAAATCACCTCTGACTCCACCGGACGCAGCGCCGCCCGGTTGCCGAGACGAACACTGGATCGCGGCAGAGGCATAGGGACCCCGCCACGTTTGACGTAAACGGAGTCTTTCATGCAACTCCGAGACGGTCATGTCCCCACAAAGAGAACATGCACCATACACGAACGCTTGCTCAGCGTGCTCAACTCCCAGACATGTGAGACAGCGATCGTGACCGTCCCGAGGCTCCAGATAGCGACCACATCCAGAATTTCATGGGTGGTTGCTCTTTTAGAGAAATGCTCTTTGTGCTGAAGCACGCAGGGGAGCTGGCCACCGCACACTCCTGGTGTGGCTGTCTGCACGACGATGATTTCTGTTCCGGCTGTGCGACCGTGACCACCGCTGCCATGCCGTAACGTCTGCACTCGCTGGCTCTCTGCTTTGCAACACCGTGATGCACTACCGCTCGGCTCCAAAACGAAAGGATGAATGAATGCGGTGCACCTACTGCCTCTGTGATCAGCGGCAGCTGGATGCAATAATCGCATGCCAATGTACATCGGCTCGTTTAGTTACACTCGAAGTGGATTGGTCTCTCTGGCGAGATTCCAATTTGTCGGTCATCACCGATGTGACGTCGAGAGTGACCGACTGAAAGGGAACGAATTACCCTGAGGGAAATTTTTTTGGAATTCTTTTATAGAGAAGATTAATTGGAAAAAAACATGGCTCGTCCCTTATAAATTTTGTGTCCCCAATAAATTTAAAGGACTACACCTAAAAATCGTGCATAATATTTACCCCACTAATGAGATTAGGAATGTGCGATATTATCGGACCATAATTTAGATTTGCTAAATTATGCCGATATGTCTTGCCGATAAGAGGATTACCTTAACTCACATGTGCTCAGGGTGTGCTAGCGATTAGATCAGGTCAGCAGTGTGACTAATTTTTGAAGCAAAGTTTTGCCTGAATGATGTTTAGATTCACTGCTTTGTATCCTGCATTTAAACTGAGAATGCACGTATAGAATGATGCATTGGGTGTATGACAGAGTAAACAGTAACACCACGTGCAACGGCAGCAGCCTCTCCCGGGTCCTAATGCCTGTTCTGTAAGGAGTTTTAATTCCGTAGGGGGAGCTGTTGTATGGAACGATATTCCGGACAATTTTCAAAAGGAATTGCAAATTGTATTTTCAATTGCATTTTCCATATGTGGACGTATAAATTGTGACATAATCCAAATGCAATTGTAAATCCTGCATTACCGTTTGCATTTGCGCTTTCGCGAACGCACAGTGACTGCCACATTTCAAATGAAAAAGCAAAGTCCATTTGCAACTGTATTTCCCATGTCTTAGGAGTTACGAGCCTGTCATATTTAAATAGCAATATTAATTACCAGTCTGCTGGTCTACCTGTGTGAACGAATAGAGAGTGCAACCTTCTTGGCACAATACATAATTATGTCTTTTTTACCCCAAATGTAGCGAAGTATGTTTTGATTTAAAGGTCAGAAGCTATAGCTTACATGAATAAAAAAAAACACAAACATGACTCTTGTAAATTAAATAATTTTATATAGCCTATACTGATTTATTCATTGTGTAATATGACATATTTTTTTAAACAAATTATGAGCTCTAAAATATATTCAGAATTTTTACAACTCTTTTGCTTTATACCATCTACAAATGTTAAGGTTACTACTGCATCTTTCTGAAAAAATTAATGCAGCGATTGATATATAGTTTATTTATAGTTATTTTCAAATCTTCAATGTACTGTCAATATAAAATATCTTCATTATTGTTTATTTAATTCTAACAAATAAGTTCTTGGTAAAAAATAATAAAAAATAATTTGCCTATAATTTCTACACAGGAGATACTTGGTGTTGTTTCCAAACACAAGGTAATATGTTGGTATCGGCATCGGCTATCGGCCAAAAAGAGTTGAAAAATATCGGCATGTCATATATCGGCAAAAGTCCAATATCGTGCATCCCTAAATGAGATTACATCTAAATTTGGTCATTTGAATTGTAATTTTTGTAATGTCAGTACCGATCATCAGTCAATTGATCATCTTTTCTTCAAATGCCTCCTTTTTGAATTTTCGCCTGACTTGTCAAAAAATACCTTGCTTCAAAATCTAATTTAGACTAATTTAAATGTTATTTTTCTCATTGTAATCATAACATAGAATATATAGGAAATGTATTTATTTTATTGGCTAAAAATTATATTCATAAATGTAAATTTTTCTCAACATTACCCAGTTTAAATCATTTTCTTTGTGACTTAATTATGACATGAAAAAATCAACAACAAAAATGTTCAAACTTGTGAAACTGTATAATGATCTGTTGAATGTCATGTAATTTGATGCATTACCTCAGTACTTTGTTTCTTGTTTTACGGTATTTTTTTTTTTTTTTTTTTTTTTTTTTTTT